GTGAAGATTTATTTACATTGTTCCTATAAACAATATGTTTGTAAATATTCATATATTTTAAAATAAGTAACTGAATAATTTATTACGTATGTTGTCTATTTCTTTGTCTTATAACCTCCTTGCATGTTATTTAGTATTCCATTATACGACAAAGTTGTAAAATGTCGACTGTCTCGATTATTTTCTATGCTTTCACATTTAATTTGAATTGTTATTGATTAAAAACGGCACCTGTTAATCGTTTTTTATTCTTTTAAAACTTATTCTAATATCAACAGTTCTGTTATAAAGGAATCACCTTTATTTGATAATATCGTTTTTAATTAATAAGTATTTTTTCTTCAATTTTTAGGGACTTTCTTTTGAACATGTCAGTCCCATAAGACTTACTTTGAAAATGATTACAAGTTCATAAGCAAATATAAAAAGAATGCAAATAATAAATTTAAAAAAAAAACAATTTTATGAGACCTATATATACCATGCCGCAGACTCCATCTGCTAGGTCCGATAATGGTTTGGCCGAAATAGAAAGAACTACGCTAACTTTGATCAAGCAAATTATGGCGTAACATATTCATGTAAAATAATTAACTTTTTTCTTCTTTTCAGAACCATATCCTCAACCAGAGCTGTCTCCTAACGTAATGGACTACATGGCTTTGAAGACATCATTAACACCTACTTCACTACCTCCCCAACAAACAACACCGTACTTCGCTCATTCAGCTGTCAGAATACATCCATCGCAATCGGCAGACCCCGCTCAGATCTACGACAGAAGACTTGCCACGTCATGGCTCTTGGCCAATCAAGTCCAAGCTCAGGGGCTATTGAAACCTTACCCAATATCCCCTTGGCAGAGGATCATGATGCCATACCACACGGGCTCTAAAAGCTTTACCCCTTACCTCAATCTACACAGCGATCTACTAAACAGAATTAATACAGATGATGTTAAATCGGAACATTCCGAACACATATCGGTAGAAGCAAGTGACGATAGCACTGACCGGCCGGACGATGAACAAGACCATAAAACAAAAGAGAAAGAAAAAAAGAAAAATCCTTATTCAATTGAAGAATTATTAAAGAAACCAGATAAGATATCCAATCCGTATCCAATCGCATTCCAGAATATACCACGACAACCGAGCGGAACCATGGTCGAATATAATAATCAAGAAAAGAATTCTAGCGATAGAAGTTCACCAGCCAGTTACTGTTCCGTGCAAAGCGGAGTGTCAAATGATTGTTTCAATGAAACTGTTACTTCAGAAATAAAGGCGGGAAACTAAACTTTTTTTTAAAAAGTAAACGGCAAAAGAAGGCCATTGTTCATTATCTATTCTTTACGGCATATAGATAATTTATTAACACTTTCATAGTTCAAAATTAATTTTGTATTCTTTCAATTTTCAAATAAAAAATTTAGTAAACAAAAAATACTCTTACGTAGTAATATTATGCGAATGTAGTTTTTAAGTGTAATTAATTGTAATAGTTATAGATATAACGTTATTTATTAATTAAATTTTTAATTTAGTTAGCGCAAAAATTAAACTAATTATTTAAATAGGCAATGTACTATTAATTAAGATTTTAAAATAGCCTACGTAACTCGAATTCAGAATTCTAATAATTAGGTAGTGTAATTTAGTGATGTTTTCTGATAGAAAAAGTAGATATAATAAGTGCAAAGTCCAGTCAAGTAGTTTAATAATAGCAGTTGCTTACGACTTCATTAAAAATATAGCCACCGAGAGATAGTGTAGCTTGCCAACATTGAAAGAATTTTTCAAATCAGTTCTGTAGTTTCGGAGCTCAATGCTATCAAAAACAAAAATCTTTCTTCTTTATAGTATTAGTATAGATAAAGCTAACCCAATGCAAATAGGATATCTCCACGCATTGTATGTTTTTAAATTTTTCTGTAACATGCACAGGTTGCATAAAAAAGTTTTCTTTTATCAATAGCACTTCGGGCGATATTCAAAATATACATTGTTACAAGCCTGAGACTTGTAGGTTACAAGTTCATAGTCTTTGTGCTATAATCGCTTCTTCATTGATTAGGCACGTCAGGAAGCATGCTCTTCTGCCCAGTGCACCAACTTTTACGGCGTATTTGAAATAAAACGAATGGACTTTGTATTATGACTCTGTGATACTGTATAGAATTATGTTAAGTAAATTTAGCATTAGAATCATTATTAGATAGCCATATTAAGTATTGCTTTATATAAAAGATTAATAACCATGTAGATTGTAGTAAATATTAGAAATTATATATAATAGTTGTAAAAATATCTTTAGTGTAAAACAATAGATTTGAGTGATTCAAAATGGCGTTAATCTGGAAATATTTAAAAATATGATTGAACTAAAAGTTTACGGTTTTCGTAATTTTTCCTTTATCTGTGCTTTACGAGGTTGCTTCGTGTCAATTTTTTAGATATTAAGTACACGGGATGTACACTGTAGGTTGTGATTCAATTGCGAATGTCGAAAATTTGCGTAAATTTGTGTAAATTTGCGACATAAACGGTTGTATCTTTTGATTCCGTTGGCTTAGAAATGTTCTTTCTTCACAGCACCTAGCGACTAGACTTGAGTATTTAATATAAATTCCAGCTTCACGCTTTTTTGAGAAAAAAGGTCTTGACAGACAGACTGACGGACAACAAAGTGATCCTATAAGGGTGCCTTTTTTCCTATGAGGTACGGAACCTTAAAAATGAGCAGCAAACTCTTCTATAAATATATTTCTTAAATACATATACTAATTAACGACACGTTAAATTCTAAATCACACCGAAATATAATATTCAAAATACATTTTAGTCATGTTAATTTTTTATTTACAATTTTAAAATTTTGGGTGACGCCATTTTGTTCCATTTACGTAAATAAATAACAATGCCAATGTTGGATTTACACAACTAGTTGTTTATTACAGCACAATAAACCAAATATTGGAAAAACTGTCTTTTATTTTTCTTGCATGTGTAAACTAATCACGCTTTTGGAAAACCCAGTTAATAAAAGAAACCCATACAAACTCACATAGGCTAACCAAGAATATAAAAACCCTGTCTGGGTGCGCTATCGGCTTCTTCACTTTGTATTGTGCACATAGGAATTAGTTCTATAATTTTTCCGTAATATGAAAAGGGTTTTTATATTTCTGGTCATGGGTTAGACAAAGTGCATCGCTCTAAAGCGATGCCATAACGAACTTAAATGTATGGAGCTTAGTTTTTTTTTTTAACTTTTACAATAACCTTTGATAAGTCACGTGATTGTCGCGCGTCAATTCCATACATTTTGAAGTACACAATGGAATCGCTTCGAATCCAATGCATTTTGTCTCACCCCTCAGACTATACATAGGTACTTTAATCTCATAAACCGCATCCAAAAATAATTAAACAGTTGATTATCTAATATTTAAAAAAAATTGCCAAACGTAGAGTTCGAGTTCGAAATATTTTCAAGAAATATAATATCAATTTTAAAATAAAAAAAATATAGTTGGAAAAAGTGTGTTTCATTGAAAACAATTTCTTTTGTATAATAATAACATCGTGTGACTGAATCAAAGCTTTGCATGGAATCATAAAGTTTCCGGTTTGCGACGTATTTCCATAATACGCCTATTATGTTTTGTATTTGCATACTGTTGTAGCAATTACATAAAGCTTAATAGAAGTTAATGCATTACGATATGTATTATTTGACAGGGAATATTTAATAATCGTAGATTTCCTAATAGCATACCAGGTTTTATACCTAACTAGCTGTCGCCCGCGACAACGTCCGCGTGGATATATAAAAAAAAACTTAATTAGTGTAGCCTATGTGTTCTTTCAGACTATGTTCTATACGTATGCCAAATTTAATCGAAATCCGTTCAGCCGTTCTAGAGATATCATCAAACACCCATCCATCCATCTATCCACATCACATCCATCTAAACATTCGCATTTATAATATTAGTAAGTTAAATAAAAAGCAGCTCTTCAAGGCAAAAATTCGGGGATAAAAAATAATAAATAGTATCCTATGTCCGTCTCCTGGCTCTAAGCTACCTCCTCGCCAATTTTCAGCCATATCGGTAAATCAGTTCCGAATTTACCGATATGGCTGAAATTTGGTGAGGACAGAAAGTAAGAAGAAGTTCTTCTTAAGGATTAAGTTCTTACAATTTTCGCAGGTTTTATCATAGTATTGTAGCATTTTAGAATCTTTATGATTTGCGCCTAATTAAGTGCCATTTTACTTAGTAGCATGTCAAAGTGGGTCAAAAGTTAAAATGATCATAAATTTCAAGAAAACAAGATTATTTTTTGAGCTTAAATTACGAATGTATACAGACGAATTGAGAACCTCCTCCTTTTTGAAGTCGGTTAAAAAATACGATCTGATCTGATATTAACAAAAAATATTTTAAATTTAACTGATGGAAAATTTTTAAATACCTTGCATATTATGATGTTTCTCTTTCCGTTGGTAGAAGATGGCATGGAGGACTAGCACTGTCACACTCTTTTTATATCACATATTTACCATTTCTTTGAAAAACCAGTACAGTAACACAAGTTGGAACACAACTTTGAGAATTTTATTCACATTATGATACACAATTCACGAACTAAGAATAATAATTGTATTTTTGGACACAGAGAAAATGGAAGACCTGAAAACTGAATATGCTTTAGAACTTAATTAGAACTGAAACGACTTATTTCGGGAGTCGGAAAAAATATGTATTTTTCACATAAAGTTACTTACAAAGCCAGAAATAAATGCAAAATAAAATATATTTTTGGTATTCAAATTCACAAAATTGAATAATTAAAATGTTACTTACTTTTATTTATTTATTTTAAGCACCCTAAACAAAAAACAATTGAAATTAATTATAATTTATGAAAATGACTAATTTAGGACGAATTAGTTTTGACACTTTTGACTTAACATGTCACTATCATGAATGACAACATCAACATTAAGTTGAACTAAAAATTGTTCTATAACTTGATACTTTTTTCATTAAATGTACACAAACTGAAATAAATGAACTATTCTTAAATAGCAAATTCCAATTGTATTGAACTGTGTACTATTTGATGTAATCATGGACGCTGACAATTTAACCAAACAAGTAAGTTAACCTAAAGTACTTTGGTACATAATTCCAAAATTCTATAGCTTTTCTTTGTCATAGAACTCTTGTCTTGGACTCTTACGATCCAGCAATATTTTACTTTGTTCGTAATATTGTAACATGCATTTGTAAATAAATTAACTATTGGCCTAAAACCTAAACACCTAGACACTGATGTGATTGCTAAATAATAAATTATTCCGGTACTTATTTATAGATTGAAGAAGTAGAGGCTTTATGTTCTATTTACGGAGAAGATTGGACAACAGAAAGTGAAGCAACTAGGTCGTATAATATAAAAATAAAAGAAAATGACCATGAAGTTATTTTGTATGTAACAATGCCTTCCGAATACCCTGCACAAGCTCCACCTAAATATGAATTATCAGCTCCTTGGATGGATAGGAAAGAAAAAGAAAAACTACACCAAAGCCTTGATGAAGTATATTTGTAAGTAAAATATTATAAAATAACAAAATAAATGAATATGTTTGTATCAAATATTTGCGAGAGTTGTCACATTTATATACTTAACTTAAATATTTTTTGTTTAATTTTATACATTGATTCTAACAGAGCACATGTTTATAATTCGTCTGTAGGACTTATCTATTACATTAATTATAGAACATAGTCTGAAAAAACACATGGACTCCTAGTTATTATAATTCTGTGTGGATAGTCGCAGGTGACAACTACTAATGAATATGTTTCTTAATGCATTCTATTTTCACACTTTCTAGAGAAAATGTTGGTGAGACAGTTATTTACCAATGGGTAGAAAAAATAAGAGAAAAGCTACTACAAATAAAACCTAAAGAAAATAAAAAAATAACCAACAATATACATGTTGAAGAGTTATTGGATTTGACTGAGGTATGTATTATAATATTATAGACATAAGAAATTTTAATCAGCATTTAACTTCCAAATCAATATTAAACATGATAAAGTGAAAGAGTTACAGTTATTTTATGTTTGGATGGATGTTTGTTAGAAGATATTGCCATAGCCTTGACTATGGCCTACTCACCCCTAAATTAGGTTATATTCCGAGCCCCTCAGTGGGGATGTATAGTAAGCTGATGATCTCCAGAGCGAGCAAGAATCTCTTTGAAATTCGGAATAGTGGTAGGACATAGTATGCATAGGCTACCAATTAACTTTTTTTTAATTCTGCTTGGATGAAGTCGGGTGCAATTCCCTTTGTTAATCTAAGGAGGAATTGATTTTAATTTTATTTGTTGTAGATGGTAATAAATTGTCCTGAAATAACACATGGCGAAGTCATTGTTGATAGAAAGAGTTCATTTCAAGGTCATGCAGCTGAAGTACACTCCATTGACGATATCAAGTGAGTATCATAATTAACATATGTATTCTGTTCATCAAGTCTGTGAAAGCCTGGGTCTAATTCTAAACATATTCTGAGCCTCTTTTTGCAACATTTGCTTAGCTTAATAATATTATGAATGCAAATGTTTAGATAGATGGATTAGTTTGAATGTATCACCGGAATGGATCAACAGATCTTGAGGAAATTTAAAACAGATGTAGAACATGATCTGGAAGAGCAATAGGCTACTCTTTTTTTAGTTTTAATAACGCATGGACGGCGTCGCGGTCGGTAACTAGTTTATTTATAACCACTCATTTGGCAAGTCCAATGTCTTGCCTGGGTTGACTTAATGTAGGACAACTTTTGAAACTTGGCTGAAGCAATTTCAATACCTTTGCCTTACCTTTTTTCAATATTAAAGTCTTTATCAACCTTTGTGGAATCTTATTTTTTATTTACTCTTCTGTATATTTCAGTGCAGTACTGGCCAAGTTGAAACAAAATAAGAAGATATTGAATGCTACACACAATATGTATGCATACCGCATTGAACGGAGTACTGAAAAAGGTGTGTCTATATTACAAGACTGCGACGACGACGGCGAGGCTCATGCTGGTGGTAGAATGTTGCATTTGCTACAGATATTAGATCAGAAGAACACATTAGTTGTGGTTTCCAGATGGTATGGACAAACTTAATATTATAATTTACCTGTTGTTCCAATCCAAAGAATATTTTTAATACAAAAAACCAAATATTTTAAGTATTAGGCCTTATAGTAGTCCTGTTACTCTTCACACTTTTTTTTATAAGGTAAGGATGAGACGGGAAAGTGGATTTTACGGAGGTGACAATATTCTCATTCTGTGTGTCCCCACCTCCGTCTATTAAAGGTAGAAAACGTATCTTCAATGGCGTATGTTTGTGGCCTGATGTCGCTTCGCTATTTAGGCGAAAGATGGCTGCATGCCTGTCTGCACCATATGATATAAAAAGGGTTTTATACTATTAGTTATTGTTCATTCTTATTTGCAGGTATGGTGGCATACAACTTGGTCCGGATAGATTCCGTCATATTAATAATGCCACAAGGCAGGTCATTCAACAAGCAGGTCTACTCAAAAAATGACACCAACTTATGTCATGATTGTTATAAGGAAAGATTTAATTTTAAAGGAGGACTATTTAAAAGGAAAAAATATGCTTGAAGCTTTTGAAATCAGCCATGTTGCTGCGGTTAGTTGCTATGGCAACTGCTTATTATGGCTGAATATGTATGTATGTGTATTTATTGTACATAGTAATGTTAAAATTGTGATCTTACTGTAAATGAATCTTGACTGAAATAATGTACTTTATTTATTTCAAATTTTATACCAGCAATTGAAAATATAACATAATTACATAGACAAATTTATTTTGTAAACATTTTGTTAAGTTAAATAGGCTAATAAATAATTAAAATACTTTAAAAACATAATTGAATTCTTATGTCACAGAAAAATTGTCAATATTGTCATATTTAAATCCAACTAGCTATGTTCTAGTTTATACAAATTCACTTGTCACATAAGTTAGTAAGATTATTTACTATTCCTTGCATTATTATCTGCCGTTTTCACAGTAATGCATTTTCTATCCAAAAATTTTAGTAGATCCTGAAACAAAGATATGAATCAATAAATTGTCTATATCTTACTAATATTATAAATGCAAAAGTTAAAATGGATGGATGTCAATTAGAAGGTATGTCTAGAAATGCTGTATGGACCTCGCTGAAATTTGACATAGATGCAGAACATGGCCTGGAAGAACATGTAGGGTACTAATTTTTTTTCTTTACATCCACACGGACGGAGTCGCGGGCTACAGCTTATTTTGAAATAAATATGACAAACGAAATCAGTAACTTGCATAATATCCATTGTGACTCATATGATATGAGTAAAAAAAGGAAACTATGCTACATTATTAAAATGTACAATCAATTTGGCTTTTTTAAACATACTAATAACCTTAGCTTCGGTGGCGCTGGGGTTAAAAACTTCATAAGTAATCTGCAGGCCCTGGGTTTGAATCACAGCATGTACCAAATTTTGATTTACGTAGCATTTATCCGACATTCTTATGGAGAAGGAAAACATTGTGATGCAACCCGCACTGGGCCAGCATGCTTGACTTGACTATGGTCTAGTGACCCCCAAATTAGGATAGGCTCCGAGGCCATCAGTGGGGACATCTAGTAGTTAATTACCTTAGGATTGTATTTATATCCGTATGATACAAGATCTTTGTGTATAACATCTATATTGATGGGTTCATATCGAAGTATTGCTTCCCGTAAATGTCTTCGACATGACACATAGTTGTGGAATGCTATGTGTAAAGGAACTGGACAGGAATGCACCTGAAATATGAAAATATTAATTTAACCATTTGAAAGTTATCAGTGACATTTGATGGACACATTTTGTTGCCTTTGTTTTTTTTTTGGAAGAATGCGGCCAACAAGTGTCACAGCAATCTAAATGTACAGTTAATTTGCTAACGATAATAGTGAACCTAAATATAGTCCAAGAAACCACTTAAAGAGGTTTCTCTCTAACCCAAATTCTTTTCTTATAGAGGTCTTACTTATAGGATAATATGACTCTTGCTATTCAGTTTCAACGGAAAATATTTGAACGGCAGAATTTTAATTCTATTTATTCCTAATGATTTATAAGTATACTAGCTGTCGCCCGCGACTCCGTCCGCACAGAATTAAAAAAACTTAACTTAAAACATAGCCTGAAAGAACACATAGGCTACTATTATGTGTTCGGCAAGGCTATGTTTTACATCTATGCCAAATTTCGGCGAGATCTTCAAACCAAAATCCATCTAAACATTCGCATTTATATTAATAAGATATATTAATCGTAAGTTTATTTTAAAAATATTGAAATAGACAAACCTTAGCTTTTTCTCTCTTCTGAAAAATCCAATCATCAGGACAACATTCAATATTTTTTATATCAGGAATAGTTTTTGTTTCACTATAAATGTTTTCTTTATTCAATGCAATATTGTTTTTTTCTAAACTATTTTCTTCTGGTGAATTAGGTTTAAATTTCTTAAATGGCACATCTTCTGTACATTGTTCTATGACTGGATGTGTTTGGTTGTATAAGTGTGTAAGAAGTTGTATGGCTGAAATTATATGAAAAGGGAATTAAATAAAAAAAAGAATGCACTCATACAATATTCCTCCATCCAAATAAACATGTTTAATTCCTTTTTTCAGAACTGAGATTCACCACAATTAAAAAATAACAGATTTATGTTCCCAGTTTTTGTCGTAAATATTTTAAAACTAGCTGTCACACGCGACACCGCCCATGCGGAATTAAAAAAATAATAATTAATGGCATTTGTGTCCTTCCAGTCTTTGTTCTACACCTGTGCCATTTCATTAAGATCCATTGAGCCGTTCCGGAGATACCCTCTATCAAACATCCATCCATAGAAACATTCGCATTTATAATATAAGATGTCATCACATCTACCTATGTTCTATAAAAAATTATAAATGATATAAAAAATAATCTCACCTCTTTTCCGTTTAAATGGTTTTAAACCATATTTCTCTAATTCTTTATTCCTTTCCGGACTTGACATAGCTTCATAATCTAACATTGGTGTAACTTCAACCAATTTAACAACATATTCAGAATTTGTTGGTGTTTTTATTGATATCTTATCATTTGTAATAGTTGCTTTAATCGGAGTAGAACAAGCTGATTTACTTAGAGTTATATTGACCTGTTTATCTACATACTTTGTCATGTCATTAATATTTACATTTGTAAGATCACTTTCACTTAATGATCTGTTTATAGTATAATTATTATAGCAAGATATATTATTTGACTTATGATTGTTAGGGACTTCATTGTTATCGTTCACTATTGAAATATCATCAAAATCATCATATACTTTTGATTTATATAAAGAATAGTTTAATTCTCTATCACAAAGTTTAAAATCTGAAATGTTACCGCTAACAATATCATTCTTAGAATTGTTCATGTTATTAGGTGATTGTGAAAAATTAGTTTCCTTTGATTGTATATTACTTTCGTCATCTGTGGAACTAATATTTTCTACTTGGTCAACAGCAATTTCATCATAATCTATAGAAATATCTCCTTTCTTACCAAGACTGTCATAATCGTTGATTTGTAAATTTTCAAATACATTATTGTTAGAGTTTTCATGGTAATCATCTATAGTGGAATGTGATGATTGAGTCAAATCAATATTAATACCATTTTCTTGTGCATTTTCAATATTTTCTGACCTAAATGATTGATCTGCTGCAAAATCTTCGTCTAAATGCTGTGAATTGTGATTTATTGTTGGTTCGTTGTGTGCTTTAGAATTAATTTCAGTCAAAATATCGTCCGAAATATCTAGATCATTTACCTCTATGACATCTTTATTTAGTTTTTTAAAATTTGTTTGAGGCATGGCATCACTACCGTATGGTAGAATAATGGTGTCATCTGGAGAAAGTCTTTGTGTACCAGGAATGTTCACAGCTGGTAATTCATTAGAATTGGATGATTGAGTTAGATCCATTATTTCCATGTCATCTTTCAAAGAATCTTCTACTAAGACTTTTGGTCCACAATTCTGAGTAAGATCAATAAAATCATCTTTAAGTATAATAGTATCATCGGAAGAATAGTCTAGATCTTTTCCAGAAACTGCAGCATGTCTATTAGATATTGAATCTTCATCTAATGTAACACACTCTTGAATACTGAAAAAATTAATTATTTGTTCCTTATTAATGTTACTTTCTTGTGAAATAGGATTTACACATTTAGTGAATTCCATACTATTATGTGCTAACTCAATTTCATTGATTGTTTCTAGTAATTTTGTTTTACAATTTGATATTATAGGAACACATTCAGTTAAGTCCATAAAATCATTTGATTTTCTTTTAGTTATATTATCTAAAGATTGAGAACTAACTTCCTTATTAGTAACTGTTGGAGTCAAATTTAATATACTAACATCACTAGTTTTGGTACTTTCCTTTTTAGCGCCTTGATTCTCACTAATTGAATGATTAATTATAGATGGGTCATCGTCAAAAATATCTGGTGAATTACTTCTATTTTGTTCATGTACCATTGTTGATAGATTTCCTTGATTACTTTCTAATTCATTTAAACCTTTATCAGTTAATTTAGTGTTTTCATAAGTAATATTAATCTCTGGAATATTGTTAACTTGATCATTTGTATTAAGGTATGAATTTAGTTTTGTTTTTAAAATATTTTTTGCAGCAAATAACCTTCCACTTAAAATTATATCTAACTCATTTTGAGAACATTGTATATCTTGCATTGATATAACATAGTCTTCTACAAGGTTAGGACTTACTGGACGACCAGGTATATCTGACCAATCTCTCAGTAAATTACCTTTGGAAACTGATATTTCATCAAATATTTCAGTTTTATATAATTCATTGGTTTTTATATATTCATATGTTATATTTGTAGCTATGTGATAAAGTTTATTATTAATGTTACAACAATTTGTTTCATTTTCATATGATTTATCTGGATTTTCAAGTAATACTTGTGAATATTTGTTACAAATCTTTTGAATTCTCTCCTCTTCAGATATTTGTAACAATTTGAATGGTTTTCTATACTTTTTAACTCTTTTAAAAGTTTCTAATTTTATCTTAGCTTGTGGTATTTTGAATCCATATTCTTGCAATGTTCTCCGAATCCTATTTGTCCTCTCTTGTGAGGTTAAATTAGTTGGGAAATCTACAGTTTCTGCCTGATCTGACTGTTGAAGTGATTTTGATAGTGCTATGGCTAACTGCAACTGCTGGGAGTCAACATCTATGCCGCCTTGAGCACACACGTCATTGAAGTCCTTTGTGAAAGTCAAAAGTTCATTTTTCTTTGGTCTTATCAATGATCTAATATCTTTTTGTCCTTTAATTCGTTTTTTCGAAATTAGCTTCTTCACTCTGGGTTTTTTTGTTTTAGGACCAGTGCAAATGTTTTTCTTCTCTTGAAAGTCTGTTAAGCTTTCATCCATTCCAGATTTTTGGAAAAATTTGCTTTTTACAATTTGTTCTAACATTAAAGTTATCCAGAATTAAAACAAACATAAGTCCTACACATTTATTAACTACTGTAGAATAAATTTACATAAATTATATACATTTTCTCTTATTTATCAGGTGTATCAGGCCTGGCGTCTTCTTCCATCTGTTTTCGAATCATATCACCCGATTTATTTCTTAAGCCACTTGCTATCATAAGTCTTCTTTCTACTTCTGGTTCAGGGTCCTCATATAATGGCTCTAGTTTTTTACGAAAGTTTGCAGTTATATTTGAAAATCTGTAATATAATTAGGAAATGACAACATAACCTTTTGCTACCATAAAAGTAAAATTACATAAACAAATTAAGTATATACTTACTGGTAAAATACACCACAAATCACACCAAAGGTCAGCACACTTATTCCAATTATATTACTGACTTTTGCAGCGGGAGTTCCTTTCAATTTTCTAGGTTTCCATTTCGAAGTATCAACACCTATAGCCATTTTGTAAACAGAACGGGAAGACAAGACAAAATATTGTGACATAGGGATGTGAAAAAAATGTTCGATTAAAAAAGATCGATTTTTACAATTCTTTTTTAGATTCATAAATTATAAGCTTTAATCGATTTTTTTTAAAATTATTTTTGATAACCAGATAGTTTAGAGCCGCAGAAACGACATAGGCTACTTTTTGTGCGAAAAAAGAGTTTGCAAAAGGTTGAAAGAGGGGATGAAATGTTGTATGGAAGTATCATGAATAATACAATTAGAAGCTTCAAACTTATTTTTTTGCCATTAATTTATTGATATAAATAAATGTGACATTCAAAATTTATAAAAGCTTAACCCTTAAGAGCTTTTCAATGTAAACAAATTAACAGTCAAATCTTTCCTGTTAAAAAATTTACTAGCTGTCGCCCGCGACGCTGTCCAAGTGGAAAAACAAACTTTAATTTGTAAGTGTTTACCCAAACTATGTTCTATATCTATGTCAAATTTCAGTGAAATCCAAGCAGCGGATCTGGAGACATCTTCTAATAAATACTATCCTTCCATACAAATATTAGTATTCTATAGATATCTAGATAGATATTCTATATATAAAAGAAAGTCGTGTTAGTTACACTATTTATAACTCAAGAACGGCTTTATCTATATGGCTGAAAATTGGTGTAGAGATAGCTTAGAGCCAGGAGACGGACATAGGATACTATTTACTCATATTTTTATTTTTTCGAATTTATTAAGTTATGTTTTACTTGAAATGCTTCATCGAAGAATTTTCAAAGGCGATGCGGTTCCAGGGTATCCAGATGTGCGTTCTGCTGATGCTATAAGCTACCTCTTCCGCGGAACAGAGTTCGCCGGGTCATCTAGTATATAATAATAGTAAGATTAGGTTTGACAATGCGCAGTTTCATCGAATAGGTTTTCCAATATAGAATATTAATTTATTATATGTTTTTCAGTGGTCCAAAATCCTGCCCAATTGTTGGATTCATAGAACTTGCAATCGAAAGTTTAGTGATTATTATTTTTGATTTACAATATAAATGAAATTTATTCTTCCTATGTCAACTTTATTCCACAAAACTACGTAGAAAAATTAAATATTAAACCAAAGATTTTGGTGTTGAGAAATAAAAAGAACTGTTTTCAATGTTTTAACTGCCCAAGACATAGCTAAATATCTGTAATAAATTTAAAAAGTACTAAAAGACATAAGTTATAGTATTTATTTGTTTAATTAACATTGTCACAAGACCGATTCTCGATAGTTTAAAATCGTTCGTAATACGCGTACGGTCGACACGCAACCGTCCAAGAAGTACAACATTAATCCTCATGGAAAATTAATTCGATATTTTATAGGCGACAGCTGTCAAACCAATCTGAAATAGACATACTAAAAAAATAACAACTTTTAGATTTGCACAATGTCACTATTACAAACAATATCCTATCCTGAATATCAAAAAGCTTTAGCACTTAATATTGAGTCATGTGAAATCTTAGCCAATCTTGCAAATTTGAAGTAAGTTATGCATCTACAGTTTTTATATATTTGTTAACATATTATTCTAACAGTGTAAGTCCTATTTATCTTTCAAAGGCTGCTTTTGAGAGTTAGTGATTTTTGTTGCAAACAAGTGGAAAATACTGAGGATTCAAATATATGAAAGTTAAAAAAATTATCAATGGACTGAATAGATTTTAGAATTTTCGATTCAATTATAACTAAAAATTATACTTATTTACTACTATATTTTTTAACAGATTAAATTTTCAAAACAGTAAAAAACCAGGGGAAATTTTGATGAAAACTCTTGACCGGCATGGTTACTCTGTGCAACAATATAGACAATTATTGACCACAGCATTGAACACCAAGACAATTTTGACTTACTATAGACCTCAAAGCAAAGTTGCAATACTCATAGGAAACGATAAATACACTAAATTAACAAACCTTGTAACACCAACAATTGATTGTGACTCTTTAGCGTCCAACTTAAAGAGATTAGGCTTTATAATAATTACTTTAAAGAATTTGACTGCAGCTGAATTGAAATCATATTTAAGAAGAATATTTCAATTGATACCAGAGGATTCTTATAGTAAGTTATACTTTATTGGTGTTTGGATAGTAATTTAATGAAAAAGTTTTTAGTTATCTCGGAAGCTATTAACTTTGCATAAAGTGCTGTACAAAACACAATTTTATGTGTAGGGGGAAGCAGAGAGAGGGCATGGCTGTGCACCAATGATGTTGGGCCACCAAGATTGTTGATAAGAAATTGTGTACAGATTTTAAACTTTTTTTTCAATGAATCACTTGACCATGGTCCCAAGTAATGTTAATATTTAAACAGTGGTAGAGCCCGCTTTAACATCTTCGCACAAATTGGCCCGGCTCGCCCAGTGAAATACCACAACCACACAGAAGACAGGCGTCAAGTGAAATCAATTCCGTGTTTCGTCTGATGAGTGTGCGTCCCGGAGGCCTAATTTAGTCCTTTTTCCCTTCCCACCCTTTCCTTATAAGGAAAGGATGGGAAGTGGAAGAGGACTTTCCGGATGAGATGATACATGTGAAGGGAAAATATTGTCTTTCTGTGCATCTTCTCTATTTCTTCGAGCAAGCAGCCACATGAAATTGCTGAAATTGCAAAGCAGTTATTGCCTATAGATATTATCATTTGTAGATGCATTGCCTACCTTGAATTGACGGAGGAGGGGAGGCAAAGTAGGAGAATATTTTCCATTCCCATACATACTTTCATCTGGAAAACCCACTTCCTTTTCACATACTTTATCTATATGAAAAAGGGTGGGAAGAGATAGAGGACAAAATTAGGCCTATTTGAAATGTTGTGATGTGAAATTTATTTGATTGCAAAAAATTGCAGCTTTTATTTTCTATGCTGGTCATGGATGTGAGCTATGTAATACGAGATGTTTACTCTGTGTGGATTGTCCTATGGAAGATATCAGTAGTGAGCATTGTGTGACGGAGAATTGGCTGCTTAGAGAAGTGGCCATATGTAAACCCGAACTGTGTATTTTGATTTTAGACATGTGCAGAAATGTTTTGGATAGGTAAGATTTAAATTCAATTACATTAAAATATTAAGAAACCTGTTTGTACTTTAGTGTACAGTATTTCTAAATTAACTTCGTTTAGAAAAGTAAATAATCCATATTAATATTATAATGAGGAAAGACTTCATTGTTTGTTTGAATTGAATAGGTTCCAAAATGAATGAATCAGTTAAAAAAATCTTTCACTATTGGGTACACTGTACCCGGGTGTTTACTAGATTTTTTTATAGTTTCGACAAAGTCACTTGCAACTGTTATATTAAATATAAACTGGTGGTGAGAGATAGAAGAGTTTTTATTTGTTGGAGTAATAATTATTGACAATTTCTAGGTTCACGAATCCTAAAATCTACAAAGCTATGACTGCAGTTGAAGACTACACGATTCATCGTAATCTCCTAGTAAGTTATTCAACACAATCATCTGAAGTTGCTTACGAGTTGTTACAAATTGAATGTTCTACAACCATAGATTGTACATATGAAGTAAAAACTGGTGATACGGAAAGAATAATGCCGGGGGCTAGTTTATATGCTAATGCCTTATGTACTAGATTGGTGGAGAATTTGGATGTCAGCTCAATGTTGGATAGAGTACATGGTGGTAAGTGGATATTTAAGTAATTTTATTGTAAACTAGCTGTCGCCTTCATCCACGCGGAATTAAAAGTACTTAATGTAGCCTATGTGTTCTTACAGATTATGTTCTATGTCTATTCCAAATTTCAGCTAGATCCATTAGGTTAAGTTATTTAGGCCGTTCCGGAGATACCTTCAAAGAAACATCCATCTACCTAAACATTCGCATTTATAATAGTTAAATAAACATTTACTACTTATTATTATTACTTGTAAACATAACAGCCTCCCCTTTATCCTATGGAGGGTTGGCAGCCCATCATCTTTATGTCCATATTATTTCTCGGCATGATGTCTTAAGTTATATTACTAAATAATTTCCTTTAATTCCTTTATTTGTAATCTAGTTGGATTTATAGATATTCCCCACTATTTTCTGGAACTACAAAACTGTTAACCAAAAATTTTCTTAATTTCAGATATGGAATCTTGTATAAAACGGCAAAGACCTATAAAGGTACAATGTGGAGTTGCCAAGAGGTCGTTATATGATCCTGTGAAAGGTAAAAATAGTTTTTTGCTTTTTTAAATATTCCTGTTAATAGTGTAATACCTTATGCCATTATTTTTAGGGGACTGGCAGATAATCTTAAATAAATTGAAAGAAGAATTGGAAAATGAAAAAGATAATTGTGCTGTATTTTGAAAAATCATAGTAGCATTGAATGTGTTAAGTGCTAAGAAAATCGTGATAACTTCCTAGGGACTTTTTTTACTTTTATATAAAGTTTTTTTTATACATATAGATTAAGAAAAAATTATATATTTTTATCAAATTACATATTGATATAAAAATTGTAAAATATTCCTAATCTTTGTATGAATTATATTTCTGCAATGTTAGACAAAAAAGACATTTTCAATCATTTTACAGCGGGAAAATGAAAATCTAAGCAAAAGGTATATTGAATAAGATTAGAAAGGGAAAATTTGAAATATTATAAAAGAAAAAGAAAACATTAAACTATACTTTATTTTGAATCATACACTGTACTGTATCTATAAACAAATTAGAACTTCATTATTGTCTTAACTAATATGACTTCTTGGCAATCGACTGCGGCTGAAAGTGGTTCACAATATTCACCCACCAACTGTCTTCAACACCTTTTGTAAACTCTCTTATAAATCTGTAGTTAAGTATGAATATCTTATCACGAAATTCCGGTTGTACTCTGGAATATAAATATACTTTTTAAAGTATTTAATGCATAAAAAATGTTGGCACTCAGTGGAAGTCGGCATGTAGACAATCGGGCTGACATGGCCCAAGACCAAATACAGAGCCCAAGAAAGAGTGAGCTAGCATGTTATTGTGGACAACCTTTGCCCCACTACAGGCAGCTTTTATGTCAATGTAAAAAAATTGCCATATTTTTCCTTTATGGTAAAAGAAAAAATTTTTTTTTCTTGCCTTAATTGAAACTGCGATGGCAATTTTTCGTATAGGTACTTTGGTAGTTAATACTCACAATAAGATAAAATAACACAACCCCAAGAGATATGCACAGATTAAAGATTAGACAGAGATAGCATAGAGTATGTTTGCTGTATGCCATCTTTGTCTACCTCACTGGCTTTTGAGTATGAGTGAAAGAGAGAGTGGCATGGCTGTCTCACTCACCCTAATGTAATAGGTGGAAGATCCCCAGTCTCTTGCATTTGTTTCAGTCCTTTTAAAACATGATAGCACATTGTTATCTCAACCCATCTCTTATCTGAATCATCAAACATTACACCTACCTGCAATTCAGATAGGAATATTTACAGTAGCTATATAAATCTTCATTTATTATGTATTATATTACAAAAATTCATATGTTGAAAAGTAAACATAGTAATTTTTTGTATAAAACAAACCTATTACTAAACAAAACCTAAACTTAAATGGAATTGTAGCTAATACTAAAGTTAACCATAAGGTTTTTTTTTTATATCAGAAGGTGGCAAACGATCAAGCGGCCACCTGAAATCGCTGAAATCGCGAAGTGACCGTTGCCCATAGACATGCGCAATGGCATATGCGTTGCCTACCTTTAATCGACGGAGGAGAGGATGCACAGAAAGAAAACATTTCCATGCATCCTCTCATCCGGAAAGTACTCTTTCACTTCCCATCCTTTCCTTATAAGAAATATGACGGGAAGGGAAAGAGGACTAATTTTGGCCTCCGGGACGCACACTCGTCAGACGAAATGCGGAATTGCTTCCACTTCACGCCTGTCTTCTGTGTGGTCGTGGCATTTCACCGGTTGAGCTGGGCCGATTCAAAAGGAGGTTTCATCACTTTAAAAAATAGTTGGTGATTAAAATGTTTTTATCGCGTTTTATAATTTGTAATAATTACCTGGTAAGGGAAAGCATAAAAAATATCTTCCTTATCTATAGGCAATAATTGTCTTTGAGTGACAGAGAGCTTGGTTACAGCATTTTTAAGAGCGACTATAGCATCCTTTTCAACTAAACCTTCTAGAGTTTGGAAATCACTCTTTTGTAGACATTCTGAAACAACCTGACACAAGATCTTAGTGAAATTGAATATCAAGTATTGGATGAATGACGTTTTTTTGATATGATAAAAATATATCATATCTTGGAACTCGCACAACAAAAAGCAAAAGATTATGAAAACGAACCTGAACTGCATGCTTAGAAGCCTCAATGAATTCGTTCAAGCTAAATTCCTGGTCAAAATAAGGCCTGATGATGAAGTTCGCAAACATCCAATTTTTAATATATTTTATAAACGACGGCCACATTACTGGCGGGAACTCCATCAGTTGGGGCAGTTTCCTTGATTCCGCATGATCTTCGCAATAAGTTCGCTGATGTATAGGAGGGCATGTTGTGGCAATTGGAAGTTGAATACTTTTTGGTGTAAACTTCTCACATAACCTAAAAGTCCTTGTACTTAGAAGTTGCCTAAATGCTAAATTCATTTTCGTTAAATTACCTGAAAATAGAAAACCTATTTAAACTAAGAGTTAATAAAATGAGCTTCAAATTTCACAAATATTGTAAAAAACACAAACAAAAACATTTGTTTTCTAATCTCTGTGAAAATGATAATGCCAAAAATAATACTCTATTTGTGATTGGTCAGAAAAATAAGTGTCAGAATTCCTGCATGCCTATTGGTTAATAAAAACAAATAGAGGCACGTTCGAAAACATTGTAGTTCAAATATTCTAATAATTCAAAATATCTTTACTTTGATTGATTAATTATTGGTTGTAATATAGATAAAAATTATAAAATACATATCACGGGAAATAAATTAAATCGCCATTAACCCCTCTTAAAACTTTTACAAAAAGGTAAAGTCTTCAAAATCAGAGACGATTTAGAAAATATGACATCTTTTCTTTCTGTCCAAACATTTTTATATACTCTTTGTGTCCAAACATAATGTCATTGTCAAGTAACTGTGTCAAACTGTATTCAAGGATTCAAGAGGCGATTTTTAAAAATTCTCAATATTACAAGATTTGTAAAAATTAAATAATAAATGGAATAATTTGTCGATAAACATTTTTCGTACTAATCCGAAACCAATACAAAAATGGACGATCAAGCGTGCCCCCGTTGTAAAACAACAAAGTACAGAAATCCTTCACTGAAGTTGATGGTAAATGTATGCGGCCACGCTTTATGCGAAAGTTGTGTGGATTTATTATTTTTAAAAGGTTAATTACTTTATTTTTATTTGAAAATTTGGTCTTATTGTAACATAATTGTTTTTCAGTATGCCTTACATTACCATTATGAAACATTCCAAGTCTACAAATTGTTTTAAAACTTTTAATTGGATAGTAATCGTATGTTACAGGGTCTGGTTCTTGTCCTGACTGTAATGTTCCCCTTCGTCGAAGTAATTTTCGAGTGCAGCTATTTGAGGATTCTATGGTGGAAAAAGAAATAGATATAAGAAAGAGAGTACTTAAGGATTATAATAAAAAAGAGGAAGATTTTGCTACTTTAAGGGAATACAATGATTATTTAGAAGAAATAGAAACAATTGTATACAATTTATGTAACAATATAGATGTTGTAGGTACTAATAAAAGGATAGAACAATACAAGAAAGATAATAAGGAATTAATTATGAAGAATAAAGTGAAAATAGGTAAGTTGTTTTGTTTTACAACATATAATACATTTCACATTTATTTTCTATCTCAGTGAGGTTGTAGATTAAGGGGTTACAATGATTTAAGAAACCAACAAATATTTTATCTATAAAAGTTTATATAAATGTATGAGATAATTGTTATCATACTTCAGTACAGTTGAAAAAATCTGTATGTTATTTGGAACTGAGATAGACTAGTCATTAAAAGCACAAATTTTATTCAAAAAACACGAGTGGTACACAAGAGACTTGTTTTCTAACACGTTGACGGACAATTGCGGCTATAGCTGTCAAAGCGAAGTTCACAATGTGGCATGACTGCTATAGCCGTCCAAAACGAAACGGTCGTTTTTAGACACTACGGCTATAGCAGCACAAATGTGCACTTACTGGCGTATACGTAGAAGCATAGTGTCGTGTTTTGAAAACATCTTTTTAGGTTGAAGTTCATATTTCACCTGTTATATATCGTCCTATCACTTAGTGTATAGAGTCCGCTGGCGCCATGACGGTTATAGCCGCAACCTAATTAAAGGTACTAAATTAATCAAAATTAAGTTTATTTAAGCAGAAAGAGTAAAACTATACTTCTAACATTCTAAAAATCACAAAAACATATAGTGTCAATTTTCGAACTTCGCTTGTTCCTACTGTCCGTCAACGTGTTAATATTACACAGACTAAAAAAATGGCATATGCTTCAAAAAAAAAATAATTTACCTATTTTATTTTGTATAGATTAGATAAATTAAAATTGACAATATTTTTCTCAATTCCAGGTAGAGAAGAGATAGAATTAGAGGAGATTTTAGAAACAGAAAAGCAAATGGAAGAATTACGGAGAGCAGAAATATCTAGACTAGAACAGGAAGCTAAAAAGCAAAAGATAAGAGAAAAGGAAGCACTTATCGATGAATTGATGTTTGCGGAGGGTGATGCTAAAGAGATATTAAATACATTTGCTCAGAATATTGCTAAGAAAGAAGAGATTGATGTATTACCAGTAATTCCTAAGGTATTTATTTTATTGTCTTTTCATGTCAGTCAATTATAGTCATAAACCATGTCATGTCAAAACAATCTTTAAGTATTATAAAACAGGTTACTAACATTTAATTTGAAGTGGAAACCCATGCCAAATGGAGGTCCATGGTCTCTGCGTACCCCTATGTTGTAGTGTTAAGTGTCAATCTCTGATCATTACTTATCTATGTCTCTGATAAATAGCATATGCTCTCCGTTTGTAATTTTCCTAGGCAAATTGTCAGTACATTGTATAACAAACAAACTAATTTCCAGTGACATGTTATATTTAAATATTTTGTAAACATATATAATTAAAAATACAATTGTGTTATAGTTCCTCAAATTATATTTCAGGTCACACAGTTCTCAACTGGAGTAAAATTCTCGAGAGGTTCGGGAAGTCAACAGGGTGTTCCAATATTAGAAGAAGGGCCTTTATACAAATATGAAGCACCAATAATACCAGACAGATGTGGTCCAGACCCACCCTCTATACAGAATATAATCTCTAAAGGGTATCTGCAACATGTAAGGTATGTATTGCTATATACTTCGTTTCAAACTAAATGCTATTTAAAGAAAAGTTTTTAAACAAAAAAAGCATTGCATACTTTATGGTTAAATTTATAATTAAATCATAGCCTGGAAGAACACATAGACTATTTATTAGGTTTATTTATTTCCGCGTGGACAGAATAGCGGTCGACGGCTACATTTCGAAATGTTGGAAAAAATAGGGTCATTATACAATAAAGGATGTTTTTTATTTGCAGTGTTTTTAATAATATCTATTTGGAAAACCTTACTATTTCATATGATGTAGATTCCAAAAACTGTTCCTGTTTCAACACTATTCTTAATAATATGTTTTTGAACAAATATTTTGACAGTGACAACTTATTTAATTCACAGAGCAGAGAATGAAACAGAGAAAGCGGGTGGGTACACTTCTACATTACCTTGTCTGCGCGCTCTACAGGATGCAATGGCTGGTCTGTATCATGCGAGCTGACATGAGAACGGCATAGAACCTGTTATTGTACTTGAGTAGAATGTGTATACAGGGTGTCCAGATCTAACTCATTGGCTACAGAAAATGTTTGTATTCCTTAGCATGCTGTATATTGTAAATTTTACAGGTTTTCAGACCTGTCATTTAAGAACAGCCTGTATATGGATTGGGTGTGATACATTATACAGGATGTTTGGATATTACTTATTGAATAAAAATTATCTTATTTTGGATCATCGCCCCTAATGAACCTACTTATGTTGTATTAGGCTGTTAACAATTCTGTTTAAAAAATACGGTAGAAAATACTATTAATATTATTACAAAGTTAGAACTATGTTTAAAACAGCAATATTGAAGAAGAGTTTCAATTTTTTTTATAATCTGACTGTAACTTTTTTCAAACTAGTCAGTTTGGTTCCATTTTAAGTTCATTTATTAAGAAAAAAACTTTTAAGTTATAAGTTAAAAGAAATAGGTGCAAAATGCAATTAAATTAACATTATTATTTTTTAGTTTTAATAAACTGTTTTGTTTATCTGTGTCATAATTTTTCTTTTTCAATTATTTCCGATTTTCAAGCAATCTTTTATTATCTATATTAAAATGTTATTGACTTCATATAAATTTCTATATTTAAAGTTAATTATAAAATAATCCGAGTTCAATTTATATATATTTATTTCGCTATGTCTGTCTGTTGAGTTTTCATTTAGTTTCAAGTAATAGAGGAGATGTGTAAATATGTCGTTAAGGTTTTAAAAAGTATTTTGAGCTGTGAAATGTTGGCCTAATTAAAAATAAAAAACTAAAGATTTTTCTTTATTGTGTTTTACTAACCAACTGTTCCTTGATATATGTCATTTTGTACGAATGTATGGTAGGATCTGATTTTTTTTTGCAGATTTACGTGCATTATTTTTGACAGCTGCGCATACTGAACCTTTTTGATAGTTTTTTTTTAAATTGCAAATTTTTTTAGGTCTTCCTGAATTCCTTCCTTCATCGTGTGGATTTCAATGGCGAAACTTTTTTTTACCAATATTATAAATGCGTATTTTTGCATGGATGTTTGTTTGAAGCTATCTCCAAAACGGTTGCATGGATCTCGCTGAAATTTGGATAGATGTAGCACATAGCCTGGAAGAACAAAGAGGCTACTAGTTAGTTTTTTTTTAATTCCGCGCGGACGGAGTCTCGGCCTACATCTAGTTAATCCTCGTAATATATTTTTTTTATGTTTTAATACATACAAATTAACTTTACGATATAAACCATTTTATCATGGTATGAGGAAAGAACGGCAAGAGAGAAAACTAGATTTAGAGGTGTGTTAGGGAGTTCTGATGATTAACAAATAAGATTGTATTCATACTAACGGCGGTTGCCTCGGTAACGGCAAATTGAGTATGACGATTTATAGAAGTCAACGTGTTATAATGATATCTCTTTGGTCAGATTATAGTGGTATTTTTATATTCCCGCGCCGCCAGCCGCGCCGGACGCACAAACGAGCGGGCAAATATTGTCGTTGCGATAACGCGTCAAAGCACCGACCGAGGCTCTGAGCCACGACAAATAATGCAACGACGTCGCCGCACAGCGCCGGGCGTGCACGCTGTAGGGTTACCAAACTGTAACAAAATCTCGGACATCAAAATGTTTAAAGAAAATAAAATGTTTGACACACAACAATTGAAATAGTATAATAATTGCTATCCAACTATTTAAGCCGTAAATAAAATCTTACTAATATTATAAATGCGACGAACGTTTAGATGAATGGATGGATGTTTGTTTGAAGGTAACTCCAAGGCGGCTCAAAAGATGTCTATGAAAGGTATAAATATAGAAAATAGTCTGAAAGAACACATATATTATTATTTTTTATTCGCGCGTATGAAGTCACGGGCGATAGATAATATTCCATAATGAATGAATACGATTAATAGTTTTCCGAGGAAAATCTAAAATCATTGTGACCCTATCAATGGATGTGTCGAGACATCGCAGCTTAGAAAATACTGTTTAGTTTGTTGAGGAGATACCGTTATTATACAATGTTCAATGCCTGCGTTTCCGAACTAAGCAGATTATGGAGAAAACTTGTAACGTAATTTATTTTCTAAGTACCTTCCCTTGATGTTGGAATACGACAATAAACATAGTTCACAAAGTCTACAAGCTTACAGACAAATAAAATGTATGATAGAATATTCATATAATTTATATTACCTATCACGATAAACATAGTACTACAATAAATATTTATTTATAAATGAGGGTATTTTATTAGTAATTTTGTCATTAGAAATGTCAAACTGAACATTAGTATCCCCCGCGACTTCAAGTGCAGTGTAATTCGAAGCGTTGTTAAATAAAAAAATATTCGCATCAAATTAATTAAAAGAAATGAAATAACAACGTATTAGTGTGAAGATTATTGTAAATTTATTGGCAGCTTAAATAAGGGGTAAGTGAGTTCTAATTATTGTACTATTAAATCTGTATTTTATTTTATTATTATTAAAGGGAAGGTCAATTGACTGTTGCGTATTGGTAATTTACAGAAATAACCTTTAATTTAATTACTCAGTCAAATTGTATAGGATATTTAATTTAGTACATATTTCGTTTCCAAATATTGTTTACAAAGAATTCTTGAATAATCTTATATTATAAATGTGAATGTTTAGATTGATGGATGTTTGTTTGGTATCTCCAGAACGGCTGAACGGATCTTGATGAAATTTGGCATACATATAGAACATAGTCTGGAAGAACATATATGCAACTATTTTTTTTTAATTCCGTGTGGACGGAGCCGCAGTTGACAGCTAGTATTGTTATAATGTAGGAAAGTACAAAACGTTTGTTTGTTAAGAGCATAAAACCACAGACAACTGTTACTTCTTTTAATTTTAATAAAATACAAAAGTCACGTTATCGTTCGGTCGCAGACAAAGGCAGTTTAGTAAAATTATGTTTGTGTCGTCTAAAGTTTTCTAATACTGCGGAGATAGCGAGTCGTATCTAGTAGTCCGGGAGGGTACAGGGTAAGGTACATTGTACAGGGTAGGGTACAGGGATACAATTAGCATGTGAACAGGCTGCGTTGTGCGGCGTAGCGCCGCGGGCGCGCACTAATTGGCCCTGTGTAAACTTGCCCTGTTATCGGACTGCCCGAAGCGGTTATAATATGCTCGAGTAATATGGAATTAACTTTTATATAGTTTTATTGATAATTTAATAGATTTTGGGGGCATTACAAAGGATTTCGGAAATAAAATTTACAGAATATTTTCTATTGTATCCTTCATTACGTATAAAACTTACAAAGGCGATTTGCATATCTAGTTTCTAGTACGGTTATCCCCAGCCGATGATCTAAGCTAGATCTAGGGCGGAAGCAGCTATCATTATTGTCTTATTCGAAGTAGTTTTTACATTACATTTTTTACTTTACATTACATTTAGTAGTTTTTACATTACATTTTTTACAAAAAAGGCTAAAAAAAGGGTAGAACATTTATCAAGGTTAGCGAAAAAAAGTAACCGCCTAATCAAAGTCTGCCAATTATTGAATACGTCTCAATGCATCGAATGTTATTTATTAATTTTAATCGGAATTTTTTAATGTAATTCTTTCCACACTTAGCAACTCTCAAATCCGCCCCCCCAGCACACTAATATTGACTTCTTATTACCGTTCCGACCGCAGCCACGTCGACGTCGACGTCACGTCAGATTGCTACACCCAGCACCAAACACGACACGACAAATTGTTATTAATTCTTACTAGTTACTGCCGTCTTTTTTTTCTTTCCAGTCAAATGTTTATACTACAACTATATATTTAAAAAAAAACTCTCGATTTGTAGGTTGATACATAACAAGATAGCAATGGAATCGGTCTAAGTTTTTTTTTTGTTGAAAACGCTGTTTGATTTCTACTGCTAACCGCCCCTGTGGCCTAATGGATAAGGCATCGGCCTCCTAAGCCGGGGATTGTGGGTTCGAGTCCCACCAGGGGTAAAAGCATATAATTTTACTTTTAAATCGTCATATGAAGTTAAATTTTAGAGATAAATATGATTGTATATTAAGGGAATTTAAGGATTTTCTTTAATCAAATTGGAGAAGAGGCTAATTACAAGAAACCTGTTAAATCTATGGTAATATAACACAATACAAAAGAAGAATAAAGACCGCGATGCTCTTGGAAGTCTAAATTGGTTTTTAGCTATCAGTAAAGTTGCTTTTCGTTTGTTTTAAAATAGTTTGTTCAATTACGAAAGTTGGTGTTCCGTAAGCCACAGGACGTATCATTTTATGTTCAGCAGATAGCATCCGACTCTTTGAAGTTTAAAAGACAGGACTTGTCAAGCTCACATATTCCCCTCTTCCGAATAACAACGACAATACGTTTAAGTTGTACACTTTCTTGCTTGTGTGCTCATTTTCAGTGTCTAAATTTTTGAGACAGTAAGAATTTGTAATGTCTTAACTCATTTTATGCACATGTGTTATAGTCATCTTTACTGCGATTCTCGCGAATTAAAGCCGAATATATTTAATACAAGCGGTCGCAAGTGACTTTGTTAGGGCGGGAAAAAATAAACTAGCCTAATATGCCTGGGTGTAGCTACGTTCCCGCCAAAGTACCGTCGAAATTAATTCTTCAGGCCTTGCGGACAGACATACAGACAGGCAAACAGATAAAAATAAAATACGTAATAGACAATGCTGACTCTTTGCCGAGTCCTTTACTGTATAGTCAAATATCCGACTAGACGTGGAACCAAGCTCTTTGGTAACATTTAATTTGTAATATTGTATGAAATTTAGTGTAGATACGCTCAGTCTGAAGCAATTTCAGTTAAACCCTGCACGGGTTTTATAACAAACAATGCACACGTGAGTTTCCATAAGATTAAGAGAAAAGGACAAAAGACGAAAAGTTTAAGAATTTATAGAAATATTTTTTTAATTATTTTCTGTTACCTGATAAAAACATATATCTTACTAATATTATAAATGCTAATGTTTGCATGTATGGATGGATGTTTTATTTAAAGATATCTCCGGAACGGCTGAACGGATTTTGATTAAATTTGGCACACAAGAACACACAATAATGTTTTTTTTTAGTTCCGCGCGGTCGGAGTCGCGGGTGACAGTTAGTCCAAATAATAATAAAATTATTTTTGATTACTGCAAATATTTTTGATTCAAAACTTACCTCTAACCATCGACAATAAATTGATATTTATTGTTCAAGAAATTTGTTGCTTCTAAACTAATCGTGGCCTAAAGAAGTAGGCAGAGAATACAGTTTTCCATTTGACTTAATCTTGGTACCTCTCGCCTTTTACTTTCAAATTTCTATTTCAAGTGACTCTTTTTAAAAGTAGTTTTTTTTATAAAAGAAGTGGGCAAACGAGTATCGGGAACATC